CTTTGAATTTCGACAAGAAATCTGGTGGCTTGCAGAGTTTTTAAAATGCGTGTTTCGGCTTCGCTGATTTCTTCGGCACATAACGCACCGCTATGCTTTCTCGCGGGGCGAAGACGTAGACAATACGAGACGATCTTAAGCAATTTAGAATAAGAGGAGTATTTTTCGAGTATGCTGAGATCGCAGGCTATGGCCGTCATGCAGGTGTTTTTCTTTAATTCGGGTACCTCGTTAATCTGTACTGTCTCGTTAGGCCACTCGTCTTTGTTACTAACTAACCACGGAGGACCCGAAAATCACATTCGATTTTGTAAAAACGCGCGGGGCAATTGACCTCTTGACAGAGCGTCCGCGGGATTATCTTCTGACCTAATGTGTCGCCATTCGTTCGAGCCAGTATGTTCCCGAATTTCTACTACCCGATTCGCTACGAACGTTTTCAGCAGGTAAGGGGGCGTTTTTAGCCAGTGTAAAACGATGGTCGAATCGCACCAGAACGTCGTACGGCTGAGTGTGATACTCAACGCGCCGATTGCTTCTCGGTATAATTGTGACAGTAGTAACGCGCCACATAGTTCGAGCCGTGGTATGGTGGTTGTTTTTAGCGGTGCGACTCGTGATTTGGCGCATAATAGTTTGACGACCGCATCCCCTCCCCCGCTCGAACGCACGTAAATGCAGGCTCCGTAACCGACGTTGCTCGCGTCGCAAAATCCGTGAATTTGGATGTCCTTACAATTTTCTAACAGTAATTTCCGGTCGAACGAAACCTGATCTATTGACTCTAATTGTCGAGTAAACTCTAACCATTCCGAATAAATGCTCTGCGGTACGGATTCGTCCCACTGTACTCCGGATCGCCACACGTCCTGCATCATCTTTTTCGCGTACAGAATTACGGGGCCCAGCAAACCCATCGGATCGTAGATCTTTGCGATCTCCGATAAGATGCTTCGCTTCGTTAATCTCTCCGAAACCTTGATGGACTGAACCGAATAAAGTATCCTGTCGTCTCGTGCATTCCACATTATTCCCAACGTTTTGAGTGAACGATCTTCGTCTAACCTTAAGTTCGCGTGCACTGCACCGGACGCCAGGTCCCCAATAACGCGCTCGTCATTAGACGCCCATTGACGAATACTAAAGCCGCCTCGTTTCAGTAGCGCAATGATTTCGTCCCTAATTGATCGCGCCTCGTTAACAGTTTCGGCGCCAGATAGCAAGTCGTCTACGTATAAATGTTCCTTGAGAATCGTTTTTGCTCGGGGAAACGCGTGACCCTCGTCATCTGCGAGTCTTTGAACAGTCCGAATGGCGAGAAATGGTGAGGAAGAAACGCCGAACGTGAGCGTGTTTAGTTGAAATGTTTGTATTTCTTTATCTTGACGCCATAAAATACGTTGGTAACATCTATCTTCCTTGTGTACCCATACCTGCCGGTACATCTTTTCAATATCCGCGGTAACAACGTAGT